GATGATCTTTCAGGATTCTGATAGAGGGATCTTTGTTGAGATTTTCTGATTCAGAGTCTGGCTGTCCTGCTTGAGCCTCTTCAGTATTGACCTTGTCCTCAGCAGTTGTCTCAAGGAATATTCCAACATTCTCAATGACATTGGTTTCTTCATGCTGATCATCAATGATGACATTGATGGATTCCATCAAGATTTTTGTTCTGGAGTTGTACACTCTATAGGCTCTGTTGTTGATGGAATATCCTAGAAAGATCCCTTCATCACTTTTGGGATCCATTTTCCTTCTTTGTTCACGATCTGTTAGTATGTAACACTTGCTCCCAAAACCATGAAAATACTTCACAGTTGGTTTCCTTCCTTTCCATATTTCATACAGGGTGGATGAAGTTCCTTTTCTCAAGGTTACTCTATTGTGAACATAGCAGGCTGTGTTCATAGCCTCGGCCCAAAAATGCATAGGTAGTTTCTTTGCATGAATCATGGCTCTAGCAGATTCTTGGATCGTCCTGTTTTTCCTTTCCACTACTCCATTTTGCTGAGGAGTAATGGGGGAGGAAAACTCATGACTAATCTCTTCAGATGAGCAAAAATCAGCAAACTTAGAATTTTCAAACTCCTTGCCATGATCACTTTTGATCCTGACCACACCACATTCTTTTTTTCTTTGGAGTCTGGTACACAACTCTTCAAAGACTTCAAACACATCTGATTTTTCTCTGATGAAGCTTATCCATGTGTATCTTGAGTAGTCATCAACAACTACATAGGCATACTTTTTACCCCCAAGACTTTCCACTTGCATTGGTCCCATTAGGTCCATGTGTAATAGTTCCAGAACTCTGGAGGTAGTTAGGTGTCCAACCCTTGGATATGATGTCTTGGTTTGCTTGCCTACTTGACATTCATCAAATACTTTTCCTTCATCAATAGTCAGTTTTGGAATGCCTCTTACAGCATCCTTGGAGATGATCTTCTTCATTCCTCTTAGATGAAGGTGCCCTAGTTTTTTATACCACAATTTTACTTCCTTTTCTTCTCTTGCCACAGAGCAAATTGTGGATTTACTAGAGTTCTTAGGCTCCCATAAATAACAGTTGTCCTTGGATCTAAGCCCCTTCATAACTTCTTTATTTTCACCATTTGTGACCATACATTCTCCTTTAGTGAACTTCACACTTAGTCCTTGATCACAGAGCTGACTAATGCTAATCAAGTTGGCAGTCAGTCCTTTCACTAGTAATACATTGTCCAGGTTAGGAACTCTAGGACAGTCTAGTTTCCCAACCCCTTTGATTTCTCCTTTTGCACCATCACCATAGGTCACATAACTAGTGGAATGAGGTTTGATGTCCACCAGCAGATTCTTTATACCAGTCATATGCTTAGAGCAACCACTATCAAAGTACCAGTCCTCTTTAGCTGACACTCTTAGAGAGGTGTGAGCTATCAAACCAACCTCATTTGCCATCCACTGATGCTTCTTGTCATGAGCCCTTCGATGGAAGTGGATAGGATATCCATGAAGTTTGAAGCAAAAAGGTTTTAGGTGACCAAATCTTCCACAGTAGTGACACCTCCACCTGTGGAACTTTTTCTTTGACTGATTCCTGTTCTTCTTCCTTAGATGTTGTGACATTTGCCTTGACATCTGACTTGTCTTCTGATTTTCAGATTTAGGCTTCTTGAACCCTAAGTTGGGTGTCTGTTTACTCACAAATCCTAGTCCAGACATGTCTCCTGCTGACTGACCACTCTGCAGAATTTTTTCAAGAGTGTCAGTCCCAAAGTTCAGCATCCTGATGGATTTTGACATCTGCTCAACTTTACACTTCAACTGGCTGACCTCACAGTTGAGTGAGTCTATTGTTGTAAGATGTTCCTTCTTCTCAGCCTCCAGCTTCTTGATGATTATCTTATGCTTTTCCCCTAGTTAACATACCTCAGTGCTTCTGATGTACAGTTGTTTGTACAGAGCTGCCAATTCATCAAAAGTTAACTCATCTTCACTAGACTCATTTTCAGCCATACATGTACCAGTTAGAGCTATGATATATCTAGCAGGTTCTTCTTCTTATCCATTCTCAGATTCTCCATCAGACCAGTTGATCTTAAGTCCCTTCTTCTCCCTTTTAAGATAGGTAGGACATTCAGTTTTGGTGTGACTATATCCCTCACATTCATAGCACTTAACTCTTTTGCCTTGGTAGAACTTTTCATCAGACTTAGTTCTTCTGCCAATGTCAGATGGGTTGTTTTCGTCTTTAGAACTACCCTTATGTTCCATTCTTTTCATGAGTCGGTTGAATTGTTTCCCAAGCAAGGCTACAACTCTTGAGAGTTTCTCCTTGCTTTCATGATCTTCTTCATCTGCAGTGTTTGAGACAAGAGCTATGTTTTTGTTCTTTTTCTCTACAGTCTGATCACACATGCCCATCTCAAATGTTTGGAGAGAACCTATGAGTTCATCTACCTTCATGTTGCATATGTCTTGGGCTTCTTCAATGGCTGTTACTTTCATGGCAAATCTTTTAGGTAAGGATCTGAGAATCTTCCTTACAAGCTTTTCTTCAGCCATCTTTTCTCCCAAGGCTCCTGAGGTGTTTGCAAGTTCAAGAACATTCATGTAAAACTCATGAATGGTCTCATCTTCCTTCATTCTCGGACCTTTAAATTTGGTGGTCAGCATTTGAAGTCTTGACATTTTGACCTTGGAAGTTCCTTAATGAGTTGTTTTTAGGGTGTCCCAAACCTCCTTAGCCAGTTCACAATGGTGTACCAGTCTGAATATGTTTTTGTCTATACCATTGAAGAGAGCATTCAATGCCTTAGAGTTTCCAAGAGCCAAGGCCTCTTGCTTTTTGTTCCATTCCTCTTCAGGAATTAGCACAGATGCTCCATCCTTGTCAGTCTTCACAGGATGTTCCCAACCTGAATTTGCAGCTCTCCATGCCTTGCAGTCTAAAGACTTTAGGAAGGCAATCATCCTAGGTTTTCAATAATCATAATTTGAACCATCCAGAATTGGTGGTTTATTAGTGAATCCTATATCTTTATCCATAGTACCAGAATTTATTTATCTAGATCTCACCCAGAAGAAACAGGTAGGGTGTTTGCTCTGATGCCAATTAAAATTCTGGCAAGCACACGATGGATGTTATTACCAAAGTTATAACATCCACTGTAACGTTGACTATTATACTAACTAATTAAACTGTAAGTAAAAGCAGTAAATAACACAGCAATTGTTCACTCAGTTCAGTGTCAACAACACCTACATCTGGGGACTACCAAACTATGGAGGAAATTCATTATCAGCAGTATTAATTCGGAGTCAAACACATCAGTTCGCACTCTTCACTTAAGACCTACCCAATGACACTTCAACCTAGAGACACTCTAGACCTGAGTATACCCACTCACTCCCCCTCAATCACCACAGTGATGTACAATTCACAGTTACAAAATAAATATGAAGAAACACTTCATACACACCTTGATCTTGCTTCACAGCTTTGATCAAGGGACACACACACTCCTGCTTAACAGCTTTGAGTGAGACACAGCCTAGAATCTACATCACCAATGCAGCATACAGTTGCTTGGCGAACAAGTATTCCTAAGACACAATTCACACGTGAAGACTAGCCTTCTTCACTCACACGGACTCTTGATAAGCACTCTCTAATCTTCTGTCAAGAGCTGCTCTTCTAAGATTGCTCCTTCTGATATTTATAATAGCATTCAGTCCTTTGGGCCTTGGTGCATAAATTAGGTTTATCCATAACAAACCTATCTTCAATGATCTGCACGCTTGCCAATTTATTCAGGGACATTTTAGTTCGCTCAGGGCTTCTAAAATGTTTCCTGATTTCCAGCTTGAGCTCCTATTAAGTTTCCTGAGTTCTAGCTACCAGAATAACAAACTTGCGCTTGATGTCATACGATCCAAGTCATAACATTGAGTATGACATTCAGCTTAACTTATAGTTAGCTAAGTTAACTTACCCTGCACAGTCCACATTATGTATGTAGCAACATCAGACATGACATCCATACATACCTTAATGTTTTTTCCACAAAATGCAGCCAATCAAGAGCACTTACATGTTAACTTGCACCCCAAGCAAAACCCAAACTTTAAAAGCCCAAAAATATCTAATCTAATCTTTATAAATCAAATCGTTTCTAAATCAAATCTAATGTTTCTAAAACAATGAATTACATATTTAACAAGGAAAAGGATTAGGATTTCTTCAAACGATTTAAAATTAAAGGAAAAAAGGTAAAATCCTTTGACCCGGCCCGCTTTGCTAAATCAAATAAATTAGGCACTTTGGACTACATTCAACCCGATACCAGACCCGCATCACCGGCTTTCTCATTTCATGCCAAACCAGTACGCTTGGAAACAGCCACACCAATTTTTCTGCATCGCACCGCTATCGCAACAGCGATTAACAACATAGAATAAGATAAAACAAACAACATTTCCAACATAAACAAATCCTAAATAATTGAAGAATATTTGTTAAGGTCCTCTATTATTTTCCTTTTTAAAAGGTCTAACTTCAACCTTCCGATTTTACCTGATGTTGCCATTTTATTGGAAAAAAGTCAGTTTTCTTATTTTTGTTTTTTTCATTTATTTTCTAAAGTTCTCCTTTTCTTTGGTAAAACACTTTCTTCTCATCGCATAAAAAAATAAAAACTACTGAGTATTTATTGAGCTGAGACACAGAATCAAACCACAATTCCATCTAACCTCTTACAGAATTGACATAAGGGCCGATTCATGAATTGATCTTGATGTAACAGAGTGCAAACAGAGGAATCATGAATTACAAACCAATGATATTTTTGTTACACAAACAGATACAATAACAATAGCAAACAAATGAAACACATGATTCAAATAAAATGATGTAATGTAACTCTAAATTTAACAATAACTCAAAGATGAAAATGTTCACCGGATGATAACTACTTGACAGAATGATAACTTAGCGCCCCAATTCTTCTTCTTCTTGACCACTCTTAGTCGCGCTTTCCATTTTCTGGTCCTCTGAAACGGAAAATTAGACACATTAACAGTTTAGACGAAAGAAAATATATAAATTAAAACTGTATAAGTCTTATCTTACCACTATCTTCTGGGATATCAGAAGTCCATAAAGTAAGGTTGTCGCGCAACAGCTGCATGATCAAGGTGCTGTCCTTGTAAGAATCTTCATTTAGGCTATCCAACTCCGAGACACCGTCGTCAAACGCTTGTTTTGCAAGGTGGCAGGCCCTGAAAAACAAGTTACACAAAATAACGATTTTGCACACGCGTTGGTTCGAACTAATAACATAGACATTCTTGCGTACCTTTCAGGTGAATTCATTATCTCATAATAAAACACTGAGAAATTTAGAGCGAGACCCAATCGGATAGGATGCGTGGGTTGTAATTCATTTTCCGCAGTCGCAGAAGCACTCTGCAAATCATCAAAGCTCAAGATTTGAAATCTTTATTCGGACCTAGAAATTTTCATGTTTTCTCCACTAACACAAATAACTTGAAGAATATGGAAAGTAAACAAATGATTCAGAGGAACACGAGAATCTCTTCCTTAGAAAGAAGAAATAAATTAATTGTATACAAGAAAACAATGACTATGTCTCTTCATTAGAAACAATGAAGTCATATGGAAGGAAAACCTATGCGTGAAAAAATATAGATTATTATAGATCAATCAAATCAATGACTATGCACAACGTTGTAATTTAATCAATTACATACCGAATCTAATCTAAGATCAATCGAATCAATGACTATGCACAGCGTTGTAATTTAATCAATTGCATATCGAATCTAATCTAAACAAAAACAAAGTGTTCTAGTTTTGGAAAAACTTCATTTCAAACAATGTGGTTAAAGGCAACATGAAACTTGAGTCACTCAACAGACAATGTTGAATTTGCACTTAAAGGGCGGACACAGATCCAAATGAAGTTCTCCAACAAAGCAAGAACCGTAAAAAGTGTTTTCAACCGCGGATTGTAGAAAACAGCAGTTTGTTTTGTTCAGATTCAACTTCACTGTGAAGCTATAGCACCACTATAACAACCCTCTTTACCAAATAGCATATCGCAAAACAAAAGTGATTGTTCAAATTCTGCTACCACAATTTGACAACACTAAGTTCATGCCAGATAAATAGTATCAAGCGAACTCATGTTAGGGATAAAATCCTTGTCACTTAAATTAAATTGCAAATACCTGATATGCTTTAAGTGACTGATCAGCTACCTCTTTCTTTTCATCACCGGATTTGAATTCAGCCAAATAGCGATGATAATCACCTTTCCTACATCCAAACAAATACTTTCAAAATCCAAATCCAAAATCCAACACAAAAACAAAAAACCTAATTAAACAACCTCAAAAACAAACATACATCTTATAATAGAACACTGTGGACTCAGCAATGTTAGTGGATGGAATAAGATGCTCATCCAAAATAATCATAATGTCATTGCAAATGTTGGAAAGCTCCACCTCCACCTTCTGTCTGTAATCCTTAATACGCTTAACATTCCATTCATTCCCTTTTGATTCCTCTTTCTGCTCAATTGATGATAGGATCCTCCATGAAGCTCTCCTTGACCCCACCACATTCTTGTACCCAACAGAAAACAAGTTTCTCTCTTCCACACTCAACTCAACATCCATCTTCGCTAGCTTCTTCATTGCATCCACCATTTCTGCACACACCACATTGCTCCATCACTACAAAATCTTGAATCAACTCATACAAAAAAAAAAAACTTTGCATATACACTCTTTTAAGTCCAAAAAAAACTCTCTCTTTTTCTCAAAATCATGATATGGGCAAGTAAAAAGTAAATTAATGGGTCAATGAAGTTGGAAAAAAAGTGAACTTTATAGTAAAAGTTGAAACTTTATGAGAGGAAAGAATGTAATAAGGAAAAAGAGAAAATGGGTTGAAGTAAAAAGATGATGGAAAGTGGAAAGAACATGAAATGAGGAAGCATAAACAAATTTCAAACATGATAGTAAACATGAAAAGGAGGGTTAGAGAGAGAAGAAGAGAACCATCATAGCGTTCAGATTGTTCTGCTAGCTTGGCAATGAAGACGAAGTTTTCACGGACGTTGGTGGAAGAAGCCATGGTTCCGCCGGCACTATCTCTCTGCTCAAATTCTGTGTGGTAGAGAGAGAGAGAGAGAGAGAGAGAGAGAGAGAGAGAGAGAGAGAGAGAGAGAGAGAGAGAGAGAGGAGAGAGGTAGATACGGTTTTTTTAAGGCTGGAGAATTTATAAGTAACCTGCTTTTGCCGGTTACAAAAATTGAAAGAAGGAAGGAAGAGTGGATGTGGGGTCCACATCCCATGCTTACACGAATGGATTATGTCATGTTTTTTTTCCTTCACTTTGAATCTCAACTTTTTGTGTAATATAATGAGGTTTTAATTATTCCATAGTTTGTTTTAACAAGAGAATCTAATTTATTTTATTAAAATTAAAATTTAATAAATGGTGGAATATTCAAATAAAGTTGGCATTGTCTTTGAGTATCTTAGCAAGGTTATAGTTAAGCAACGATAGAAATAGCATGCAAGGTAGAATGGAAGTGATTCATGTTGATATTTGAGTAAGATAAATGCAAGGGAATAAAGTTTAGAAGCTGGTTTGAAGAAACAACTTAAATAGATTAGCTGTTTGAAGGCTGCAGTCAGTTTTGACAGTTGTAATAGTTTGTTTGTTTGTTTGTGTTTGTTACATGTTTAGCACTATATAAGGGAATGTATTGTAGTGTGTAACAACTAATATACCATTGTGAATAAAGTTTCTCAATTCTCCTCAAATATCTCTCTCTCTTTCTCTCAATTTTATCTTCATCTTCCCCATTTTCCCTTTCCACCATTTTTATCCACCCTCCGTTGTTTTGTGTTCTAACATTTGACATCAAGAGCCTTGGCTCTGATCCAATTATCTGCTACAAACATGGCTACAGTTTCCAACGATCGAATCTCTTCCAATCTCTCAATTCTCGATTCGAAGAATTATGACAAGTGGGCAAAACAAATGAAGGTATTGTTTGGGTATCAAGATGTTCTTGATATCATCAACAATGGTGTTACACCGCTTGGGGCAGAAGCTACTGCTGCTCAACAATCTACAAGTCAAGAAGAGAAGAAGAAAGATTACAAAGCACTCTTCTTGATTCATTCTTGTGTCGATGCCGACAACTTCGAAAAGGTGGGTGATTGTGAATCCGCGAAACAAACATGGGAAATCCTTCAAAAGACATATGTTGGGGGCTGATAAAGCCAAAGTTGTGAGGTTATAAACTCACAAGCGCCAATTCGAGTTAATGCAAATGGAGGAGAAGGAGTCGATATGCGACTATGTGACGCGTATAACGCGATTAGTGAACCAAATTAAGGCTTGTGGTGAATCCCTAGAGGAAAAGAATGTTGTGTCCAAGATCTTGCATTCTTTAACGCCAAGATTCGACAACATCGTAGTGGCTCTAGAGGAATCAAAGGATCTTTCAACATTGACCAAGAATGAGCTTCAAAGTTCTCTTGAAGCTCATGAGCAAAGAATGGATGAAATAAGTAATGACAAGGCCAAGGCGGAAGTGGCTTTGCAAGCACGGTTCAATGACAAGAAAAGGCGTCCAAAAGGGAAATGGAATCCGAGAGGGAAGCCTTACTTTGGTGGCAAGGATCCACAAAATTCAAGGGCTTCATCAAGTCAAAGAGAAGAGGGCAGATCCAAGCAAGGTGGTGGTCATGGCAACTATAGAAAGAAGATTGACAAGAGTGGTGTGAAGTGTTATAATTGTCAAAAGCTTGGGCATTTTGCAAATGAATGTGTTGCAAAACCCAAGGAAAAGCATGGTGATGAGGCAAGGGTTGCAAGGCAGGATGTGGAGGAAGATGATATGCTTCTTGTGATCACGGAGGAGAATTATGGTGTCAAGGAGGGGCTGGACAGCAACTACAGTAGAGGAAAGTTGCTGGCCAGCAATGACAGTTTGGTGCAAAAGTGTGTCGAAAAGTGTCTGGAACGAAGCGCAATGGTATCGGTTAGAGATGGAACCCAAGCAAGTGATGAGTGGTACTTGGATTCCGGTTGTTCAACACATATGAAGGGTAGAAGAGATTGGTTTGTCAAGATCAATCAAGCCACCAAGAACAAAGTGAAATTTGTCGACGTTACGACTTTGGAGGCCAAGGAGTAGGTGATGTTTTGATCATGAAGAGGGGTGGTGGGCATTCCTTGATCAAAGATGTCTTGTATATTCCTGGGATTAAGTGTAACCTCTTGAGTATTGGTTGCTTGAGAAAGATTACACTATCCGGTTGGAAAACAAGATTTTGCGCGTTTTTGACCGAATGGAGTTTTGGTCCTTAAAGCACCAATGGCTGCCAATAGAAATTTCAAGATAGCTTTGAAAGTGATGGATCATAGGTGTTTAGCTACAGCGGCGAGTCGTGAAGAATGGTTGTGGCATTACCGTCTTGGGCACCTCAATTTTCGAGACCTTGACATGTTACAAAGGCACAGTATGGTGAACGGGCTGCCAAAGATTATGATTCCAGCTGAGTTGTGTGATGAATATGTTCAAGGAAAGCAACACAAGGCTGCATCTAGAAAGGATGCGGGTCATAGGACCAAGTGCCACCTTGAGGTGGTGTATTCGGATGTTTGCGGACCGATGCAAGTTAATTCGTATAGAGGAAATAGGTACTTTGTGATGTTCATTGATGATTTTAGTAAAAAGTTGTGGATTTATCTCATTAAGAGAAAGGATGAGGTATTTGATGTATTCAAGCGTTTCAAATCCATGGTGGAGCGGCAATGTGGTCACAAGTTGAAAATTCTCAAGACCGATGGTGGAGGTGAGTATACCTCAAATGAGTTTGGGAATTATTGTGATGATGAGGGTATAGTGCGTGAGATTATGCCACCTTATACGCCTCAGCAAAATGGTATTTTCGAGAGGAAAAATCGATCAATAATGAACATGGTCCGTTGTATTCTAAGAAGCAAGAACTTGCCAAAAGAATTATGGGGTGAAGCCGTTTCAACTGCCGCCTATTTGTTGAATAGGTGCCCTACAAAGAAGCTTGGCAAGGTGACACCAAAAGAGGTATGGTATGGTCACAAACCAAGCTTAAGTCATTTGAGAGTTTTTGGTTCGATTGCATTTCGATACATTCCAGGTCAACTTCGAAGAAAGTTGGATGACAAGGGTGAGATGATGTTACTTATTGGTTACCACCCTACCGGAGGCTACAAATTGTTTGATGTCAGTAGCAAGAAGATTGTGGTAACTCGAGATGTCGTAATCGATGAATTAAGGCTGTTTGATAGCAAGAAAAATCAGATTTCAGTAGCAGAAATCAGTTTCCCAGAAGCAGGAAATCGGGTTCCCTTTATTTCTGCTGAACCTAAAACTGGGATTTTCGAAGAAGAAATCGGTTTCCAGCTGAAAATGCAGTTTTTCAGAAAATGGCAGAGGCTATGCAGTGTTGCACCCCAAATTTTGACCTCTTAGATCTTCATCATCATTCTAGGAGCATTATCATTGTTTATCTAACCTTAACCTATTTCAAGTTTGTCTTTGTTAAGATACAAGTGAATTAGGGTTCCGTACAGTTGGAAATCGAGGTTTCAACGGTTTAATCAGTCAATGCCTTGGATTGATTATCCATGAAGAATGTCTCTACACCATCAATAATACTCCATTGGGTCAAGTATGAATCCAATTTGAGATTGTCACCCGAAGATTAAAAACAGTGCAGTTCAGGACCCCCGATTAGGGTTTTCGATCAGGAAAAGTCAACCGTGGTTTGAATTTTGATTTAAAAGGTGTTCTAATGATGGAGTTATGGTCCATGAAGCTCATATGAATTATGGAAGTCCACTAAAGAAGTTTCAAGGCCTCAGAAGACCCACGACACCAACAGTCGATTCAGAGGTTTTCGATCGTTCGGTTCGTCTAACTGAAAAGTCAACCCATTGACCAACAAGGTTTTAACCCAAAATTGAAGCCAAATATGTTCCCAAAATCATTTAATATCTAATCATGAAGTTTTGTGACCAATTGATCAAATATTGAGAAGTAATCGAAAAGTTGGGGAATTAAGGTTTTGAAAAGGGCAAAGCCATAACTCCTTAACCACACAAGGTTTTTGACCTAGTTTCAAGAGGAATGAGTTCCTAAAACAAACATAAATATTGTATTACCTAATTTGGGCTTTCTAAAAAGTACAAGTGTGTTCCATAACTCTTCCTGGTTAGAGAGAACCGAGGTCCACAAGTTGGCAAAAACTCGCATTGGCAAAACCAGGTCAGCATGAGTTTTTTGATTCCAAAACCTCTCCAAATCGATGTTAATCAAAGATTAAGCCTCATTTATGATGTTTATATTGATAATAAACATTTGTACATCAATTCCCACGAAAATGGCACAAAGATCAAAGGAAATCATTATTTAATGCAAGTTGCAAAGGTGAATAGTGAAGAAAGAGAAAAAAGGTGGCTACCCTTGTCAAATCATAACCTTTAATTCAACAAGTCACCTCATATCCTATCAATCATGATGAAAAAATCTATCGGACATGTAGAATATCTTAGTAGAGTGGTTTAAAGACAAAGATGAAGATTGTATTGGAAAACTTAAAGATTTTCATGATGGAAGGTTAAAATTGGCAATTTGCTTCACTTTTACCCATACCTTGATCCAAGGCTTTTGGCTATAAATAGAACTCACTTTCTACATCACAAACACACAAGTTTCATGCTAGAAACCAGCTAGAACTCCATTCCTTACACAATCACAAGTTCTTGCAAAATCTCATTAAGTTTCCAAAATCCCTCAAAATCTACTTTTGCAAAACACCTATCAAAACCATTTCCAAACTTCTTCCAACTCAAGAAAAGCTTCAAACACATCAAATGTGATGTATTGAAGCTATCCAAATCACTTCCATATTTATGTAACAAGGTTCTAGTGAGTTGGTCTTTGAAATCTTTGGATTTTGGAGATTTTCCTTCATTTACAAGTCATTTCGTCCACTAGCTTGCTTGGAGGTTGTTTGGAGCATCTATTCATCATCCTAGGAACATTTGCATATTTTGGAATAGCTTTCAAG